GTAAGTTTTCAAGCTCGGGCAAACGCTGCGGGAGCTGGTCGTGGCCGGCTCGCGACACCTGAAGCTGAGTCCGGACAAAACCATCAGAACCGAAGGGGGCCCCGAGAACAGTACGCCCTTGGCCCTGCATCCGACAGGGACCAGCGCCAACCCAACAGACAGGTCCGGCATCCCGGCCGGGCTGGCCAAGTTCTGGGGGCATGTGTCCAGCCGTATTCTCACGCAAGTGGTTGTGGGCTGCAATGCTGGGTGCTGGCCAAGCGGTGGGTTGTTCACCCCCCTCTGCTTGCTGGACGACGTGCGGCACTCCAAACATACTCCCGCAGGCCCTGCAACATGGACTGGCGACTCATGGTATCGAAGGCACCGATCCCGTCCACGAGACTGGTCGCTTGCGGGTTGTTGTCCAACGCGGCCGCAAGGAAATCGGCGCCTGCCCGCGTCGACAGGGCGAACTGCGAGGGGCGCGGCAAGCCTCTTGGAAGGCTTCGGCCTTTTGCCGGGCAAAAACACGGGCAACCAAGCGACGGGTGAAGTCGCCAACACCAACAATTCGTCAATTGCTCCGACGCAGCTGGGTGAAGTCACGGATGATGAGCCCGCCCCTGTTACTCCGGAGCGGATGTCGCGGCCGGGCCAACAGATGACGCCTGCCCCGTGTGCTTGTGTGTTGTCCGGCCTCACTCAGTTGGGCCGGAAAGTTGGTACGAGTTGCCGTCGTGTGGACATGTGTGGACACTCGTTGCACCTGTGGTTGAGTGCTGGGCCCCTGTCCACCATCCCACAGAGGGCCGGCGGGATCCTGCATGGACTTGTCTTCGTTTCGGGTTTTGCCTTTCGCTCTCCCTTGCCCACGGGAAATGCTTCTTGTTGGTATGGCACGGCCCCCCCGTCTTCCTTGCGGCCACTTCGTTGGCTGGCTGTCCTCTCTGCTCGCTGTCCGCTCCTGGTTTTTGGTTTCGTTGTTGGCTCCCGCGCGGGCGCCACGGACAGCACATCTGGGAATCGGGCCTTCTTAAGAAACCGTGCCACAGCTGTCCCTGGAAGCTGCCCAGGTTAAAAAGCTTTGTCAAGACCTCCGTGTTGGAGGCCGGGCCGAGAAGGGAAAAAACGAGCCAACAAAAAAGGAAGAAGAAGAAAAAAAAAGCGGAACAAAAAGGGCGACAGTCCCCAATACCAATTGTCAGCATCAGGGAGGCCTGCACCAACCGCCGGGAGGTCAACCAACTGCATGGCATGGGACAGTTTGCCGCGTGGGGGCACGGAAGCCCCACCTGTCAACAGCAACCAAGCCGTCACCCTGCATAGTCCCATGTGTTTGGTGTGTCCGTGGTCTCTGTTGGGTCGCGCGGACTGGATGATGTGTGTGTGTGTGTCGTCCGGCCTCACTCGGTTGGGCCGGAAAGTTGGTACGAGTGAGTGGCCGTCGTGTAGACATGTGTAAACTCCTGTAACACGTCGTGTCCGTTTTGCCGGTCCGGGTGGGCAGTGTCGTGAACAGCAGGTGTCCTTGCCCCAAGTTGCCCCGTCCTACAACACCCGTTCAGTGCCGTCACCTGGCTCCCTGCCGCCAGCACCTCGCGACTCCGTTGCCGCATTTTGCTGCCAGCATCTCGCGTTGGTGGACGGGTCACGCCCCCTGTCCAGGGCCGGTGGGATCCTGAATGGACTTGTCTGCGCGGGCCGCAGGAAAGCCAAGCGGTTGGAGCCTTGGGCTCCGGATCCACCCCTGCTGCTGGGACGGGACATCAACCACAATCATGCTCCCGCCAGCGGGAACAGTTGGCTTTTCGTCCCGCTTTTGCACGCTGGCAGCCCCTCGGCCAGCTTTGGCGTGAGGCCTTGCTCCATGTGCTACCGTAACAGCAGGATATGGCCGGTCGGGAGGCACCCTGCCACGGCGGCAGCGGAAACGGGCAGCCCCACCAGCCCAACCCATGACCCAGCCCACGCCGCAGCCCTGGACACCGGCAACCTGCTCCAGGCGCTGTAGGAACGTGCCTTTATTGTGCCTTCCTTCGCTTGCGGCGCGTTGACCTTTGCACTCTCAGCTATTTTCGAGGCTAATGCGAGCATGGAAATGTGGCCCTTGGCCAAGAAGCCACCAAGCAAAACTGGCAATCGCATGACCCCAGTCTTGACATGCCCGAGGCCAGATGGATTGCTCCAGCCAACAGGCGCGTCAGCTGCCCGGCAAGCGTTGGTCGAACAACGCTCTTGGCTGCCCGGGCTGACAGGGCAAACAGGCCCGACCTTTGCACTCTCAGCTATCCTCGAGCCTGGTGTGAATGCGTGCGGGGGAATGTGGCCCTTGGCCAAGAAGCCTGGATCGCCCACATCACATCACTGCCTTCAATGAGACCCCTCAGTGAGGCACGGCAAGTCCAGCCGCCTTCGCATCAGCCAACAAGCGCGTCAGCTGCCCGGCAAGCGTTGGTCGAACAACGCTCTCGGCTGCTCGGGCTGACAGGGCGAACTGGAAGGGGCGGCAAGCCTCTTGGAAGGCTTCGGCCTTTTGCTGGGCAAAAACACGGCGTAGACATCGTCCCAAAAGCCACCAAGGTTTCCTCACGCAAGTGCCTGCAGTGCTTGGTGCTGGCCAAGCCTGTGCGAAGCTGGCATTAAGGGTTGTTCACCCCCCTCTGCTGCTTGCTGGACGACGTGCGGCACTCCTCCCCATCGTGCCAAACATACTCCGAGGGCTCGGAGCAAAACAAACAGGAGCGCGCCAAGCAGGCCCTGCAACATAAACTTGCGACTTCATGGTATCGAAGGCACCGATCCCGTCCACGGAGACAATGGTCGCTTGCGGGTTGTCCAATGCCCGCAAGGAAATGAACGGCACCTGCCCCGAGCGCTCTGGCTGCATGCCGGGGAATGGTTGGGGGAGGCTGGTTGGGTCGACGACCAGCTCCTGCAGCGTCGGCGTTTGCCCGAGTTTGAGGACCTGCAAGCTCTTGGTCGTTGCTACTCTTTTGTTGCTCCCTATACAACTGTCTTCTCCGAATGCCCCCCCGTCGGTTACGGCCGAGTACGCTGGCGCCCACGATTCGGCCGCTCTGTCAACCTTCGCGAACTTTCTGGGCGTGGATGGCCTTCCCGTGCTCGACGGATCGCCCACTTGCCCTTGTCGCAAGGTGGCCTTGGCTTGATGTCTGCTGCTCGGACTTCTGTCTCTGCTTGCTGGGCTCCCACCTTGCAGCCTGTTCTCGAGCTGGTGTCCACCGTGCGCCGCGGGCAGAGCGGGCCGCCGCGCGAGTGTGCCGCGAGGCCGGGGGGTTGACTTGCAACACCTGCTTGGCAAACTTGAACCTGCAGGTTGATCGTGTCGACGACCGGCGGCTTGAGGTAGTTGCCAAAGGACTGCCGTGGGGCGGGCAGCAGCTCGCCGTGAACACCACGTTGGTAAATGCAGAACTCGACATATTGATGGCAATGTGAGCAATGGTCAAAAGCAATGGTTCCCCCAATTGACATAGGAATTTGTTGGGTAACCTTTGCTTTCTACTAGTAATTTGGTGATTGTATCCCATACAATACCCGTGGCACCAACAGTAACCACATGGCTCGAATTTCGATGGCTCACGCCGTTCCCTTTAAACCTATGGGGTCGAAAAAAAGGCAGTCGTTCTGAAAAAGCAAGCATGTTTTTTCGTTGAAGAAAAATATCTTGCCAACACGACAAGTTGTGGGCACATCCGCCACTCAAGTACCAGCGACCCCCCATCCGTGTCACAACTATTTACGCATCAAATTTTAAGTTAAAGAACCAATCTCAGACATGAAATTGTATCCAGCGTCATCGCTGAACCACTAGAATCGTCATCTTCCTCATGCCACCCAAGCTTTCTCGGAAGATGTTCCCTTCACAATGGCATGTTTGTCAATGCTCGCCGCGACCAGTAATTGACAGCAACATCTTTGGGATCGTATTTTCTAAATCAATCATGTACGTCTTGGGTTTGCTCAACACTTTGCTCCTCATCTTCCATTTGCGTAAGAATATTTTTCCCTGTTGGTTATAAAGGGAATCTATCACGGCCGGACATAGGCTATTTTGTCGAGCGGACTTGCGGAGGCGCTGGAGGAAGCAGAGGCGAAGGTGCAAGAACTCTTGGCCAACGTGTCTGGTTTCCAAGATGTGAAGCATTCGTTCCGCCAGTTGTTGGCGTGCGTGCTTCTCAACATCTCCTGCTTTGCACGTGCAAACCGCCCATCCATCTTGTGAGAAAGACGGTGTTCCAAAGCCACGCTATTGCCAATCTCCTCCCGCATCATCAGCGCAACGCTGCGATGATGGCAGCTGAGATTTCCACTTTTCATATTGTTTCCAGATCGTGCCTGAGATCCCGCTGGCGGCATTGCGGGGCATCAGGGAGACTTGAGGGAGAGCGCCTGGAAGGCTTGCGGCTGCCCTCTACTTGGGGCCGCAAAACACCACCCTCTAGCAATAGCAAAGGCTGGTGACTGCCAAAATGGGGCGGTTTGCTTGTTCCTTGGAAAAACATGCGCCACGAGGCCTGGCAATGAACAAATTGCACGCAGCAGAGCGAGGCGCTCGTGCGACGCTGGAAGAATATGCTCGCCCAACAGCGCTGTGGCCTCGTCGTCGGCCTCAGTGGCGGCACGTTTTATGACGGCGCGGGTAGAAATTGCATGTTGAAATGGAGAGCACGCGCCTTGCCCGTTCGGCTTTTGCAACGATTTTTTAACAGCCTGCAAATGCGACTGGAGTTGGGGATCACTGTCCTAGTATTGGTTTCACATTGGGTATTCTCAATTTCGTATTCCTGGATCAGGGTTTGTGAGTTTCGGAAAATGTGATTAGGATGACTTCTCTTAGGAGTGGTTAAGAAGTACAAACTCCAAGAACGATTGCATTTTTGAAACAATGCATCTGACCAAAACATTCAAAGCGAAAGCGTTTATTTAAAGCAAAGGATTTGAGGATTTTGGCGGCAGAATAGGAATACACCGTGTGATCATTCAGCTTTGCTTGCAGCCACATCAGCGGCTCAACCTCCAGTCTACGTGTGGTCTGTAAGTTCAATTCCTGAAACGCCGGTCTTGCCGGCAGAGTATCACCGGAACCGTCGTCAGGCGGCTGCATGTCTGAGAGCTTCGGCGTGATGCTGGGAAGGTTTTCACTTAAATGGGCCTCCCAGAGCAGAGAAAACGTTGCCTCAACCAAGACAACCAAGACATCGCTGATCGTTAGTTCAAAGAAACATATGGTTTTCAACAAGATTGGTTCTTTGCGTGCAGCAGTTTTGCAGATATGCTGAAAGCCGTGCGTATTTGGCACAGACTCGAGGAAACAAGCTTTGGGAGATACAGCTGCAGAAGCCTCCAGCTACGATGCCCGGCGCTGAGTATTTGTCTTGCAATCATCATAGAGGCGCAACGCCGTACGAAACTTTATGCTTGATTTGTTTGCTGACTTGGCCAAGTTGTTCTTAATGACGTGCTACTTTATGTTTTCGGGAGCGGGACGTTTGAACTCTTTCGGGCCACCCAGTTTAATCCGACCCGTGTTGTTTTGATGAAAAAGACGGTAATTCGGCAAAGGGGCCTCCGTTGTTTTGGGTACTTGCTTGCTTTGGTGAACGCATCACTGACTCATAACCAGGGGGCCTATCAATCAAAGGCCAATATTTAGTAGCAACATAGGCACACATTAAGTTGGCGGAGTGGCTCAGTCCAATGCAACCGGGTGTGTGTGTGTACAACAGAGTTGTTAGGTCCCCAGTAGTGCCTTTTTACCCCTTTTTGGGGGAGGGTTCCCCTACTAAAATAAACTACAGGCAAAAAATGCCCTTATTCTAACCTCTCTACTGAGGACCTAGGTTGTTCTATCCTCTGCCCGCGCCGTTTGCACCTGCAAGCCTGACCGCATCCCGCACCAGGCAACATCACAAGCTGCAGTACAAGGAGCTGGCGAGGCTGAGGTGAGCCGCTTCTTCCCCATGCAGCCTTTCTGGTTCCTAGAAGAGCTCTTCCCCACGAATTACAAGCGCCTTGGCCTTCTTCCCCATGTTTTGCGGCATTTGTGACTTCCCTGGTTTTTTCCGAGACGATTCTTGTGAATTCCACACCCACGATCCATGAGGGTTCTGCCTCGGCGGAGGTATTTGCCAACATACGTCCGTGTGGTGCACAGTGGGGAGCACTTGGTGCTCCTCACAGGCACCATCGCCAATCTATTTCTGATGACACTTGGCAGCAAGGAAACCGAATCGCAAAAAGATATTCTTCAACACGTGATGCTGAAAGACTTGCAAGTTGCAAGGACAAAGCTCTTCTTGTCCTACCAGTATTGGAATGAAGAGATGCACCACGCGGGCGAATTCATAGCTGCTCGGCATCGGGAAATCGGAGAGGCCGCCTTCGGCCTTGCTTGAGCCATCGCGCGCAGAAGCCCGTAGGGGATGATTCCCCACTTGACACCCTTATTTGGTTGGACTTATCTTGTGGGATGCGAGTGACAGAAACACACAAGCTGTGAAGGGATGGTTGAGGAATCCTTGTGCTACGTCCTTTTGTTTCGGATTATAGAGTCTTGGCCTCGTCCGGCGCATTCGTAGGGGGTGGTGTTTCCCAAGCAAATTATGGGCCGCCCTGTAAAATATAAAAGGCCATTGCAATCAAAGAGGGGTGTATTCATCCTGGGTTCACATTCCTCTCTGCTTCAGTGAGTTGGAACCAATGAGAAGCCCCCTGAAGGAACATGTCCCAAGAAAGTCTCTCAGGCTTCTACTGGTGAAAAATATGTCGCGATTTTGGAGGGAATCCATGCAACTTTAGCAGGCACTCCGGAAAAGCACGCCATTTGCACTGGAGACTCTGTGTTTGACGCCTGGACAAGACCACAAAGCGCATTGCGCAGGTGTATCAGCTAAGTGGAAACAAGGGCCATTCTGCCGATGTAAGATGAGGGCTTACGGGGGGGGGGGGGGCACAGACCATGTGGCGGAAAAAGGCGCGAGGAAAAAAACCCCTTGTTTCTGAAGCTGTATTCAATTCTTTCAACTGTTGATACCGGGATGCTCGCCGAGAACTTCCCTGCCCATGCTCTATGAGCAACACAGCCCGCAACCTCAGGCTTTCATCCCCATCATCCCCCGATTGGCGGGTTATACAGAAAGCTCCCTATCTCTCCGTGTGGTTTAAACCTTTGCCACTTCAAAGTGGGGTCCTAGAGGCATAGGGCACTCGGTGGACATGAGTTTCCAAGCGCAAAAGTAGAGTTAACAATCATGAACCCACACGAGGTAGTCTTGCTCTCCTTTATCTTCGGCCTTGTGAGCTTGCAGCTGCTAAGCACGGAGCTGGTTCAGTACAGCCGCTCTTCAATCAATGAGAGCGGTATCGGGCTGTCCTGCAATCCGTTAAGCCGTTACCGAGGATGGGGGGGCTTTTGATTTGAGACGGGTCTTGTCCGACACACGCCCCTAACAGGCCACCAGATTGACCAATCCAGTTTGCGGGGCCAACACGATTGCTCTATTGCCCAAGCCCCCGCAAAAAGGGGGGGGAGTGCGAGACTCTGTGGAATCAGATGTGGCATAACCCTGCGCGTCCCGTTTGGAATTTCAGTTGTTCAGAGAAAACTTTCCGCACGCGAAATTAGCAAGGAACTGGCCAGCCATTCAGCCAGCCAACAAACCAGGTGCTGTTAAGGCATAGTTGCGGGAACTTTTGATTCAGAAGCCGAATCCTGCAAGATCGCCATTTAAGCAGACCCACAAACCGCAACAAGGCTCTGCAAAGAGAAAACCGGCGGCGTTACTGGTTTTGCCTGTCATTGATTTTTCGCTGCGCTAGCTGTACCGGGAGAACTGCACCAGTGCATCGGCTCCGCTGCGACAAACCCTGGCCATGAAGATGTGCTTGGGGGCGATCGGGCAAAGATAAACCATTGTACGCTTAACCGCTCGCCCCTCAGCTCGCCCCCCTGCTTTGGCAGGTTATTCATCGGGTGCGTTGCTTCCTGGAAAGCCAGGGCTCATGATTTGGCGCTGGGGGCACTGCGAGGCCCCTCACAGGATTCGGCGCTGAAGCAACACAGTTGAGTTGCAAAAAGGGCTCCGACGTGTTGTGAACCATCGCTCTTTCCACGTGGTATCCTTACCGTGATTTCTGCCGTTGGTGTGATTTGCATAGCATCCAGGCGTGGACTTGCACGTGAAGTCGACCGAGGCGCAGAAAAGCCACCTGGCACGGTGAAGCATTACAGGACCATACTCCCCGTAAATGAGCGTGGAAACTAGAAGGGACTTTCACACGATGCAGGGGCGTGTTTCAGGCAAATGTGACCTGCACAATTCGCCCCGTCAGTGTGTCAGTCTGAGGAGCTGGTCGAGCAAGGCTAACGGGGATGCCATTCTCCTTGATTCTTCCTCCAATTCCAAGCTTCTTTTTCGGAACCCCTGGGATCCTCACTTGTAGAAGGTTAGCTGGGAAACTACCCTTGCCCACCAAACCACCAAATTGAATCTCAGGGGGTAAGTGGAGAACTACCCACCACCAAACCACCAACGCAAGCTTGGGGAAAGCGATCCAAGGCAAAGATGAGATGGTTGCCACGTTCCACACCGCCGTGGCAGATTTGGATACCATGCTGGTCACCTCTGCGGACACGCAGGCGCATGCAGTGAAAGAAAGGGGGGTTGGGTGTGTCCGTTTCGCCCACTAAGAGTTAAACTTCTAGTGGGGGATCTGAGGAAGCTTTGTGAGGGTAGCCATCTTCAGATGGTTGTCACCCAACAAAGGGGCGGACAGGTACCATGGCAGACCTGCAACCCCCACGTTTGTTGACTCTATAATTTATTCCTGAGAGTACAAAAGCCCTATGCAGACAAGGGCAATCCCCTGAACAAAGCCTATGCCATATTTGGGACGGTCACCAACAAACAAAAAACACGCTACTCTAGTCGCCAACCTGACTATGATCGCCAACCATTTCCCGCGAGCTTCAGATTTCGGAGGCTTGGTGAGAACTGCATGCGTGCCCTTTGATGCGCGAAGCATTGTCACAGCATGCCGGGAGCATGCTGTGCCGTGGTTCAACTAAGAAAGCAGCGCCAGGATTTCCATTTCGCGGCGCGCAGTCATGTTCAAAGCACAGGGTGCTTGAAAATGAGGTTTCAGGCCTTGTGCCGCCAGGGCCCTGGTCAAACTGGTTGAGACACGCCCGCTCCACCGCCAACTCTTCTAGCCGTCGGATCAGGCAGCCTTGGCTGAGCGCAGCCTTGATTCTCACAGGCCGGGTTGGCTCAGGGCTCGGAGCCATTGGGGTGGTCAACCTACCACTTGGGGGAAGGGGGGGTGGCTTCGATACAAGTGTTGGGCCAGTTGGACCTTTCGGGCAAGGCAAGGTTTCGTCTACTTTAGTCTTGAACTTGGAAGGTGTGTGGTGTATGTTAACTATCGCCATCGTTGGGCATGTGTCAAATGAAGGTGCTAGTGCCACTTTCAGCTGGTACCACTAATCAAGCACTCACAAGATTCCGCCCCTGAATCCCTTTTTTTGCTGCCCACCAAGCCCGCATTAGCCCTCAAACTTAGAATGCAAGGCCTGCCTGAAACCTTGAAAAAGAACACATATGTATTTGGTTTATAGGCAATCTGTTTCGCATACTTGGGAATTCGGCCAAGATTTTGAGGTGTCAGTGAGTTTCAACCGACTAAGCCTCCTTAAGTGGACCTAATCTTTGCAGCGAGTATTGCAGCCCTTGTTGGGAGAACGCCGCAGAGGGGATGAAGACAGGGCCTCCCAAGAACGCCCCCCCCCCCTCAAAGAAAAAGAAAGAAAGGAACGAGGTGAAAAGCAACGGTTGCCACAGCTGGCATGCAAATGTGCGTCATGGGCCTTGCCCGAAACCTGTCATTCTGGAAGGGCCAGGAAAAAGTGCCTTTCTTTTATAAGCGTTCCTATTACAGCCGAAAAGGGTGTGGATCTGCAGCACTCAAGATAATATTGTATCGTTTGGGAAGCTTGGTCTCGCAGACAGCGCTAGGGACACGAACCCTTTTGAGTCTTTAGGTATATCCAAGGGATTGGATACTCGATCTCCGCCAGGCGCGACCTGTCCAACCTTCTCCTGAAGGGTTTGCCCTCCAAGCTGCGTGCCGTAGACCTCCAGAGCCTCGCCAGAGATCGTGTAATTAACCTGCTTCTTGGTAAGCGTGGCAAAAATGGGCCACCAAAGGGACTTGGTTCAAAGAGTGTCCTGGAAAAAAACAATGCTGAGGCGGATGCAAAGGGAAACTAAAAGGAAAGCCAGCCTTTTGGGGTGACACACATTCACCTAAAACATGAAACTGGGTGGGGCATCTATCAAGGGCAGGTTTGTTAAAAAGAATCCACCCCCAGAAGAACTGCTTGATTGAGAAAAAGGCATTCTTTCTATCTGTGAGGTTTTTGGTCAGATCTGCCGTCGAGGCGGTTTCTCTATCGAGGGACATCCAGTTAAAATTTGAAAGCCGCCAAGTGAAAACCCGCATGGTTTCCATTTGCTTAAGAGATTGCTTTGGCAAGAAGCGAACAGCACATGCCCCGCGGCCAGCACCTCATGGCACCTTACCAGGTGTAGGGTTTAGGCGTTGGTTCCCACTTCGAAAATGCCTTTGGTTTGTGGCATGGCAGTGAGCATGCTCAGCAAGTGGTGTCTATAGACTGTTTTCGGGCCAGTCATCGTCTAGTTTGTTTGTTTAAGGTCTTCAGTGCTGGCCTAGCAAGAACAGCTCTGGAAGTGTTAAGCCCCGAAGCCTCGACTGGTATGCTGGTAGGCGTACAGATGAGCAAGCCCGGATGCGTTTCGAGAAGCGGGTAAGTCAGTTAGGTCATGGAGAGGGACACGTTAGGTACACAAAATGGCTTGCCCGGGTAAATGGAAAGGACTAGGATCTGCGGTTCACATCCTGGCGGTGGCTAGTTTTGACCCATACGCATCAGAGATGATTTTGCCTTCGGCCAAACGAAGATGGCGTCCTTTGCGTTTCGTTATTGTGTGTGTGTGTGTTTGCTGGAGCTTGGATGGGACCCATGACTCGCTCGAGGCAGTTCCTCGCCTTCGTGCGGCAATACCTCAAGATCTTCGAGGAGTGCCACTCAGCCTCTCTAAAGGGGGGCCTCGAGCGCTTGCGCCAAGCTGGGCTGTTCAAGTCCTTAAGTTATGTAAGCAGACCTAGGGGCCAAGGATTGAGATTGACCAATCCTCTTTGAACAGCCCACAGGACAATCGCTCAAAACGGCAGGAAACCGCAAGGGGGAAGACAGGGCAAATCTGAGCATGTTTGATGCCTCTCTCAGTGCCAGGCTGAGTTTCAGAAGCCAGCTGCTGCCAATTCCGATGATTTTTATTTGCCAGCCCCTTCTTATTGCTGGCTTTGCCCTTGGCTGAGGGCTTGGAGGTGTCGTCATTCGGTTTAAGAGAAGCTTTCTTTCAAATCGGGCCTGAGTCACGCGCAAGTTGGGAAGAGATCGTGGGGCCTCCGGCGCCATGAATCGCAAGGTGGGATGTTCGAACTTCGAAGCGACGACTCTTTCCCCGGTCTTGATGGTTGGGTCTGTCTTTTTTGAGATGGTACTGCTGACCCCGTATGAACCAACCCCAACGGGGGGGTCCCCTCCAAAGTGATGAATTCCCCGCGAATTAAACCCAGTGACACCCCCCTATTAATAGACTGGGGTTGATGAATACGGGTTCAACATTAAGCCTTTGGGTTTTAAATGAAGCCCAAAAGGAACCGTTTTGAAGCAATGGCTTTGGAGCTCTGGGGCCAGTCGCCCCAAAAACATGGACGGGCCGAAGGCATGCGCCGAAAATGGGCTGCCGGAGCACACCATTGAATACAGGTGTGCAAAAAACGGAATCGGAGCCTCAAAATGGGTGGCTTCCGTGCTGTTTCGATTAAGAAGCATCCCAAAAAAAGAAAAGTACCATGGTCAACAGTAGTACAAACTCACAAAATGACACGGCCATGCCCAGTTCAGTAGAGTCCAGCCCATTTTTTCAGCTGAAAGGCCTCGGGGATGCCGCGTTCTTTAAAAATGCGGTGGCAGCAACAACCATCTTTCGGTGTTTCCGAAAATTGGCCAACCATCGTGGCAGCTAGTTCCAGTTTGGCTTTGAGACCTTTCAATAGGAAATCCCGAGCTTTGAAGACCTCTTTTAAATTTGGCGGGGTAGAACCATTTGACCCTGGATTTTAGAAATGAACCTATCCTCGTCGTTTTCATGCGGAAGCTGCACCGCCTGGCGAGATACTGGGCCTTAGAAAGCAGGCGTTCTGAGGCGCTGTCAAATTGTCGGGTAGCCTTTGGTCAAATTCCAGACTTACTAGACGTTGCCGTGGGTCAAAACCAATGGTACCATTTTGGGGTAAGTGCACCACCCATTTTAGTCTACTTTAGTGAGACGTTCACTAAGGGTACAGACTTTTGACCCATGGCCATATTTCCACAAACAACGGGCAACTTCACGTTTCTCAAAACATCGTTGGCGCTTCACCCATGGTGAAGGTTCCTTGCATCTGAGTCCGTTTTCCTGGCTGGAGAGTGAACACAAGGGCTGAATAATTACCAACATGATTTTCTTGTGGTCATGACTTGCTGTAGCCCGATGATACCCAAACCCCCCGTTCTAATTGTTCAGCCCCTTACCTTACAGCATCTTAATTTGCAAGGAGTATGGGAAACCAACATAAAAAGGTTTTGTCCCGCATGCTTCGGCAAGCATTTTGTTTGAGGCTCCGCGGACCCTGTAGAGCACCCCTTCTTTCTGGTGGATTATGCGGAGCTGGAAGGCGCTTCTCCAGAGGAGTTAGCAGAGCCCGGGCGCGAGTCAATTCAGTCGGGCGCTTCTTTTTTTCGCTTGAAAACGTGTTGAAACAGCAGCCGAAAGGGACACCCGGATAAATAAACGAATGAATGAATGAATGAATGAATGAATGAATGAATGAATGAATGAATGAATTCATGAATGCATGAATGCATGGATGGATGGATGGATGGATGGATGGATGGGAAAGGGACACCCGGAGGTTTTCGGAGTTTTCCCAGTCGAGCGATTGTTAGAATCTCTGCTTGGGGGCTTGGGACGGCAGCGCAGCTTCATACTTTATTCTCTTTTTGTTTCCGTGGAACAACAGAAGCCCAAGCATTCCCAACAGCAAGCACCACCCCGCACCTCAACTTGCTGCTCAACCTGTCTGACTGTCGCTCTTGGGGCTGGGCGTTGCTGTTGCTTTGCTGCCCGTTTGTGAGGGGTGAGGCTGGGCCGTTTGCAGATGGGCAAGTCGGCAAGTAAATCGAGCGAGTCTTGCACCACACTGAAAGCTTCACCTAGATGCCGAGACAGACCACGTCAGCGTCTTTCGTATGATGATGTGTGAGAGGGAGGGGGTCGCACTGGTGGTAGCAATTGCAGATTTTGCGCAAAGCATGTGCAGTTGTACTTGACGCATGACAGTGGCTTCGTGGTATCCTTGTTGGAGCACTGCCGTAGGAGTTGCGTCGGACAACCCAGAATGATGAGCTTTGTATTGTTACACACTTGGCAGCTGCCGAGAATTTTACCTTAGCAGGTTTCTTTGATGGGTCTCAGGCTGTTTGTGTCTGTGACCCTATGTGAAGGGTCGCTAAGTTTTGCGTCGCGTTGCTGCTGCTTTGCAGCTGCGGGTTTTGAGGGGAGACGCTGGGCCGTTTGCAGATGGGCAAGTCGGCAAGTGAGTCGACCGCGCCATGCAGCACACTGAAAGCTTCAGCTAGATACTGAGACAGGCCACATCACCATCTTTCGCATGATTCGGTCTGGCAGGGTTGTGGCGAGGTGCGTGAGAGATGACAGAGACAAACAGGCAGACAGACACGCAGACAGGCAGGGAGAGAGAGACTCGCGCTAGTGGTAGCAATGGGAGATTTGCGCAAGCGTTGTGCAGTTGTACTTGACGCATGACAGTGGTTTCGTTGTATGGCTGCTTGAGTCACTTGAGCCTGTTGTGCTGCTGCTGCTGCTGCTGCTGCTGCTGCTGCTGCTGCTGCTGCTGCTGCTGCTGCTGCTGCTGCTGCTGCTGCTGCTGCTGGTGCTGCTGGTGCTGCTGCTGATGGCGAGGACTTTGCCCGAGCGGGTTTCTCTGATGGGGTCTACTGCGTGTGACGGGGTCCCAAGTTGCCTGTCCGCTTCTGGCGGTTTTGGGCATCGCTTGGACCAGTCTTGATCCAGGGCGTAGATAGGCAGAGGAGGCCCAAGGATTTGTTTGTGGATGACATTGATCCCGACGTTCCCGTGGTGAGCGTCACGCTCAGGGTACCACTCCTGACGTCCCAAAGCATGCCAAGAGATAGCACACGGTTTCCCTTCAATTTCCCGTTGTGGAAATTTTAAAAGTGGCAGTGTCGCACTTGAAGAGGAAGTCCAGTGACCCCTGTTGCAAAAAGATGGCCACCGGTTGCGAAAGCAGCCAAGGAGAAGGTGGGGAAGAAGGCCAAGACCAAGGAGGTGAAGTTCTTGAGCAAGCACGTGGCAGCAACTCACCAGCAAATCGGAGAAGAAAAACAAGCCAAAGATTCTCGGGGTACCTTCCATTTTCATTCTTTCCAGGGATCCTTCTTTTCAGGAAGCCTTCAAAACCCAGGGAAACAGCCGGTCTTTGAAGAGAACGATGGTTGAAAAGAATGGAAAAGGAATCAACCCCTAGAAAGATGCGAGGACAGAAATGCGAGGGGCTAGAATAGGTGCATGTGTCCAAGATCAGTCCCGTTTCCCTGAGAGCCAGCGGGGCTCAAGTGACATGTGCTCGCTGTTTGCATCCCACGACACGAAGAAGAGAGATGCCGGGGTGGGCGGCTGTGCAAATGGATTTTGCAAAATACTCCTTCCAACTTGATGTTCAACAGCTGGCTGTTCAAAGGAATTCCGCAATCCCGCAACCCTTGCCTTGAAATTACGCAAAGGGATTACGCAAAGACCGGTCCCCCTGTAGCAGTGGCTTCCCTATAGGGATTATGAATTAGGATCGGCCAGCGCTGAACAGCCCAGAAAAGGAATGGATCCTTTGTAGTACTTTGTCAGAGTCCAGAACGGAATATCAGCGCAAGTCAACTCCTAGAGAAAAACAGGATTCCTGCAGAAACCCGGTAGCGGGATCTACCCAAAGCATCAACAGCCTTGAGAGCCTTGAGGTGCGAGCGGAAGGACCCCTTTGTCAACTTGTATTCGGTGGCATGCATTCGTTGCAAAGGCATAGGTGTCCTTTTTGGTTGGTTTGCTTTAAAAAAATAGAGGGCCCTGGTTTAGATGGGGTTTATTCCTTTTGGCAAGGCCATCTATTTTTCCAAAAGGCCACCTATGTGCAAAGGGGTTATGGCATTAGGACTGGCCAAGCCTCCTTTTTGAACCAGATAGCTTCCCCATGGCGCTTCCTCGGTTCCCAGACTGCAGGGGTGAAGCCAATAGTCAGCACATTGAGCGTGCCAAAACGCGTGGATTTGGAAACCGCTCTTCTGGCAACTCACGAACACACGGGACTTTGTTCTTCTTGGGCAGAGCGGCAGATGGGAAGCCTGCATGGGTGGGTTGCCTCTTGAACCTAGAAGGGCATCGTCAAAAAGACACCCAGATGGTTGAAGGAGAGCAAATAGTCGTATCCGAGATGTTTCAAGTAAGGGATTTCACTGCAACATCCAGGACCTAAGGCCCGCGGTGGTGATTGATCCGGGGGGGTTACTCAGGCCTCGGAATTCCGTGTGCGTATTTGTTGTTTCCCTTGTGCGGGGAGGACTAGGATGGAATTCCCCCCCCCCCCCTCGCCCTTAAGGTAGGGGGGAATGTGTATGTGTGGTGCGCAACAATGATTGAAGACATGCGACATGAAACGGCTTCAAGGCGGAGACCAAGAAAGCGTCGGCCATGCCTCTTAGCTGCGCACGGTGTCCGACATGTCTTGCCCCAACGTGAAGTTCGAAAGCTGCCTGTATGCCTCACGCCTATGTCACTAACCCATTCCCCTAGCCCCTCCCCTCTCCTCCCCCCTCCTCCCCCGTTTCCCCACAGGAAGACCCCTAGCAAGCCCCCATAGAGGCCTTGTTTCGGGCTACCGGAATCTCGTTGCACCAAGAGTTCCAAGAGTGAAGCCGTGTTGTACCCTGGGCCCCGCCAAACAGGGAATGAACATTTGGATCATCCATAAAGTGTTAAAACAAACATCGAAAAATCACCGAGCGGTGACTACTAGTGTCTGGGTCAGGGCCCAACCTGAACATCAGTTTTGCGGTTTTACCCAGATGGTGTCCCTTGTAGTGTCCAATTTGGAAAATCGGATTAGGGATCCCTTGTTTGGACAGCCAACAGAGAACTGGCCGGCTTGCCCATCCCTAGCACACGTGCGTGGACATCTCACTTGCGACGGCGAATCAGAAGGGACTCAATTCGGGTGGGAAGCACGTTTCTGGCAAGCTCGGGGATTCACCACCACCGCCGCAACCACCACCACTGGCCAAGGGCAATCCCTGGAACCAAGAAACGGACGACAACCTTGGGCGCTCCAACTTTTTGTTGCTCCGGCGCATCCTGCTCGGCATGTTCCACAAACGGAGCAAAGGCCTAGGCGTGGCCATGGCCAAGACATGCAAAGTTTCGAACGAGGTGTTTTAGTGTTGCCCTTTTACCCTTTTTTGGGGGAGGGTTCCCCTACTAAAACTCTTTAGGTCCTCTCCACTGGAGGACCTAGCCAACATGTCTGCCCAGTGTCCGCACCAATTTGCCAAAGATGCAAGCGGAGAAACTCTCCAGAAAACGCGGACCTTCAAAGCCTCAGCTGAGGCGCCAATCTTGGAAGAGGGTCACCTACGTCCCACGGAAGGCGTCGACATTGCAAGCTTAAGAAGGGACTGCCACGGGAAAGAAGCCCCTCAAGGTGTAGGGTTGTGTCTTGTTTAGGCAGGGTTCCACTTTTTGACTACCCCTTAGACTGAAAGCCTGAAGGTGGTTCATTCCCCCCAAAAAGAGAACTGCGGGGTTTAAGTCTTCCTTGGGATGGTCAAAAGCCCTGAGTTTTTGTGTACCCCTGTTTGGCGTCGATTTGAAAATGTTGGATTGGATACCAGAGAAGCACCTAACAATAACTTTCCAGCTCCCATGTTTGAGACACATGTGAGGCTTCTCGGGGTTGTTTTGGCACTGCAAGTTGTTTGCCAATGAACACTCACCACTGACGGGCCAGTTCAGACCCCACATGGGTCTGCCGTTTTGCATGGCTACCCATTCTGAGGTTCAAATTTAAGGGAAGCCAAAAAGGAAAACCCCCATTTTGGGGGTCCAAGCCTCCGGCAAAATGGCAGGTCATGAAGTGGACGGGCATGTCAAAGATGATCAAGAAGAAGCCGAAGCAAGCGCCTAGCCCTGCCCTCGATGACGAAGAGTTCGGAAGCTTCCGCAAAGAGGCGCCTCGGCCGCCAACGCGGCGTCTTTTCGCCTGCGGTCTCAAAAGCTTTGGGTGAAATGCCGCGGGCAGTGGCTTTCCTCTTGATCTATCATGGACAAAATCGGGGGGGGGGGGGGGGGGGTAGATGTACGGGTCCTTTTGTCAAGCCCTGGTGACACGCCTGTACTAGCCAGGTTCAAAAAGGGGGCCGTAGTCTTGACAGTGCCTAACTCATTTCCTGAGCTCCTGGATGTTATGCCTTTGGGGGAAGACCATTTTGGTGCCAAACAAACAGGTCGGACTTGTTTTGACCAATCCACTCACTCTGTTCCTGAAGAGCAGCAAGAAGTGGCTGCACTACAGGGGTGACTTTTCCAGCCCAAGAGACCCTTCATCACGGTGTGCTGTCAAGCCAGACTGCCGAGAAACGGCTCGCTTGGCAAGCCTGCTGAAATGAACCAACAGCAACCAAAAGCTCGGGACCCATGTGCAACCAACTTCTCATTGCTCGAGGAAGGCCACCAGTCGCTTTGTCCCAAAGCCTTACGTATTATGAACGCAGGGGATGGAAATGGCAGGCGATCTACAGCTCATCATGGGCTCAGCAGTTCTCTTTCCTTTCCACTCACCGTCCGGCAATGGTGGACAAGACGCGCTTGCGAGTATTAGGCTGCAAAAGGTTGCAAGAACCAAAGTCTAGTTGCAAACCCTGCCGCCACAACCATCTTACCCATCTTAGCTTTGCACTCGAGTCCTTCAACAAGAACCAGGAGGTGATGTGGACGCTTGGCAGCATTCACGTGCATGTGGTTTGGATTAGGTACAGCATGCGCAATGGGGCTCCAGTTATTTTTTGCGGCAATCGCCGCAATCACCGGGTCGGTGGACACTTATGAGGCTGGGGCAGACCCCTCAAAAAAAAAAGGGAGCGGGGGGGACAACCAAACTTTCCCGTGTCTTCCTGGAGAACACCGGTCCTTGCGTTGCCACGCCTTCGGTGGGAGGAACCTGCAATTGCTCCCGTCAGGGTCAATTGGCCAAAGTGGACAGGCAGGTTCCTCCAGTGGGCTAGGTTTCCCAGTAGTGCTCTTTTACTCTTTTTTTGGGGAGGGTCCTTCTACTAAAATACACTACAGAAAAATATTGGTACCCTCTCTACCTTTGACATCCTAGTGGGTTTTTTACAGTTGAGTTCCGTGTTCACTTTGTGAACTGTCCGGAGTCCCCAGTTTGGACTTCCCACGGCGCTGGTGGCCCAGTGATTGCAACCAGGTTGTGGGCGAGGACGCAGTCCAATGCTTTGCAGTTCTTCGTGCATGTCTTCATTTGTTAATGTTTGTTTGTTCGTTCCCGTTCACTACTTAATTTGTTTGCTCGCGCGATCGTTCATGAATTCATGCCCGTGCATGCCTGCATGAGTCCACCCTCCAGTCCATCTATGTGATTGTTTCATGCTTGCTTGCTGGTGTTAGCTTGTTTGTGTGCTTGGTCGATTGGAGGGTTGCTTGTTTTAGTGTGATTGTTTGTGTGCTTGCTTGCTTGCTTGCTTGCTTGCTTGCTTGCTTGCTTGCTTGCTTGCTTGCTTGCTTGCTTGCTTGCTTGCTTGCTTGCTTGCTTGCTTGCTTGCTTGCTTGCTTGCTTGCTTGCTTGCTTGCTTGCTTGCTTTCTTGTTTGCTTGCTTTCTTGCTTGCTTGCTTGCTTGGTAGGTTGGTTGGTTGTTGGTTGTTTGTGTGTGTTTGTTTGTGTGTTTGTTTGTGTGTTTGTTTGTGTGTGTGTGTGTTAGCTTGCTTGCTTACTTGCTTGCTTGCTTGCTGGCTTGTTTGTTTGCTCATTTGTTTTTGTAATGTTTGTGCTTCTGGTGTTGTTTGTTGGTTGACTGGCTGGCTGGCTGGCTGGCTGCTTGGTTGGTTGGTTGGTTGGTTGGTTGGTTGGTTGGTTGGTTGGTTGGTTGGTTGGTTGGTTGGTTGGTTGGTTGGTTGGTTGGTTGGTTGGTTGTATGGTTGTTTGTGTGGTCGTTTGTGTGTTTGCTTGTGTGTTTGTTTGTGAGTTGTCTGTGCGTTTGTGTGTTTGCTTGTTTGCTTGCTTGCTTGTTTGCGTGGTTGGTTGGTTGGTTGGTTGGTTGGTTGGTTGGTTGGTTGGCTGGTTGGCTGGTTGGCTGGTTGGCTGGTTGGCTGGTTGGCTGGTTGGCTGGCAAGCACTGCTGTGTAACAATCCGACTCGTGGAATGCTTCATATCACGCAGGAAGGGAGATGCATAGTGTCGTAAGACCGTGCCAGCTTGGACATGTTGAGCCTCCCGTGCCCAAGCGGTTCCAAACGAGGGGGCGGGACGATAGTTTCGAGCCTTGCCCAAAGCTTGGCATTGTTGCCAGCTGTGCGGCATGCATGGACATGACATACGCTCCTGAGCACTGCCAGCTCATCCGCGCAGCATAGGCGCACATGCTCAAGTGCACCCACGTAGCGCTGCTCACATGTCTCCTAAATGAGAAGCACGCACGTCCAACCACCACAGGCTCGGGTTGCTGAAAACCGTAGACAGATACAAGGCAGCTGAACCGCCGGATCCCTTGGTCTTGTGCACACGTTTGCTTTGTAATTGTCCCGGCGACTCACAAACCAACAATTCACAACCAAGAGGCATTTCGGACTTCAAGTCTTCGCTTGGAGTTCCGGAGGTGAGGTTTGAACGACACGCATTCAAGTTCAGAGTCGCTGGCCCCAAACCTGGTGCAAGCTGACCTGTTTCATGGCGCAAACGGGCTCGAACAAGCGAATGGGCCACCCAACCAAGCGCGAGACTGAGGCTCCGATGGGGTCTCGGCAGCTTGGCCAAAAAATTGGTGGCGGTGTTGCAACTTGGGTTGGATCTTTAGACTGTAACTTTTTGGGATATAAAGGTGTTTTCCACTAAACCCCAAAAAAGGTAAACTTTTGCAGGGGGTCGACAACAACCAAGGCAAGGGTTGCCTCTCTCCCGCGTTTTCGCGCGGGAGAGGCTTCTCGGTTGGCATGCTTTAACCATCCTCAGGAGGCCTTTTTCAGATGACAGCCTTTGAACACCCTCCGGTGCACCCATATCATCGTTGAACACAGGGCCGTTTCTTCGTCGGTCCTGTGTTAGTTTTTGGCAGGACTAGGGTTTGTGCTGAGATCGCGGGGCAGAAGTTTCATTTATCATAGGCACCCTGTTTCAAGGATGCATTCTCAATCTTCCCACGAACCAAACGGGGGATGTGTGTGAACTCCCAGTTTTGCTCCATGATTTGGTGCAGGCTACGGGTTTGGCATTGAGATCGAGGAGTCCGCGCCCTTTCCCTTCAACGTCAAGGGGGGGTTCTTCTTGTGCACAGCGCCTCGGCTCGAATTTCAGCGGATGTGCGATCGATTCTCGTTGGTGGGGATGATGTTTCAGGGGGGATGTTAAGGGGAAACCCTAAAGCGAAACCCATGGGTTGATATTTTGACCCGGGGGTGTGTCCCCTTCTAGCCGGAAATTCAGACCACTTCTTGCTTCGTGGCCTCCACCCGCGGGATCCACATTGAGGAACCCTGACACCGGAATCTGAGCCTGAGGTCTCTGTTGAAATTTTGTAGGGCAAACACCCGAGAATAGAGGAAACAATGAGTGCCGCAGTGTTTGTGGGCATGGGTGTGTGCTCATTCTGGATTGCATGAATATACATATAGATATATAGATATATGTGTCTTAAAGTATCTACTTGTTTGTTTATTTGCTGATAGCCTGTGTATGTTTGTAATGTCCACATAGGATGAGTAAATGCACGCGGAATAAAGACAAATGGGGGAGGGGGCAAAAAAATAATAAATGAACCTGGAACAAAGACAAGCACCCGCCACCTGCGCCAAAAAGAATCCCGCCCCCCCAAAAAAAAGGAAAAGGAAGGAAAAGAAAGAGAAAAGGGAGAGGAGAGATAGCCAAGCCAACACCTGGTCCTTGCACGTGATTGGTACCTTGCTCCTTAAATCCAAAATTGTCAGCTTTACACGACCCATGCTTTCTTACATGTCTCTTGTTTAAAACCTGCCCACAATCAAACCAACAAACGAGGTAGTACTCCAGCCCCCAACTTGACATTATTTCAGGGGCCCCGAAATAAAGTCTTGTTGCCTAGCCCCCTGAAAAATACAGCCTGCCCAGTGCCTCTTAGCTAGTCAAGTAATTAGACAGCCTAGGTGAGGCTGGCAATGCTTCATGCTGTGTTGTTAGATTTGGGCCTGCTCCTCCTACATGTCTCTTGTTTAAAACCTGCCCACAATCAAACCCACAAAGGGGGTAGTACTTCAGCCCTCAACTCGACATTATTTCAGGGGCCCCCGAAATAAAGTCTTGTTGCCTGGCCCCCCAAGAAAAACAAACAGCAATACTAGATCAAATGGAAACTCAAGTCTACCAATACTAAATCAAATGGAAACTCACTTGAACTGGATCTCAAGATAGTATTCCAGGTGCCCCCATGGGGGGGGGGGACCCCGTTTACTAATCACATGTGGACATTTTATATATATATATATATACACAGCTTTTAAACTCCCGCCAAGAAGGGGTCAACTATTCTGAGAAAACCCCGTTGCTTTCACGCACATTTGAGGTTCTGTCTCCAGAGCATTTCAAGTCCGCGCCTGAGCATTCGAAGGCGTTCGGGAAGGTACTACTCAGGGGAGTTGCATGCTGTATTACAAGGGGCACCTTTGCTATAAGGGGGAGCAGGGCGAGCAGATATTGTGCACGTCTTCCACCAAACCTTGTGGAGCGCGTGGCTCCGGGACCATGAAACCAGGATGCTTGGTTTGTCGTTTATCCGGTTGCCACAAGCCATGGAGGATGTGGCATGGTCGTGGCTTGGTGGTTTGGACCAGGTTTGGATCAGCATGAAATGGCTTGTTTAGCCGTATGCTGTACTGATTGCATGTCTCACAATGGGGGGCACCCCCAAAGTGGTTGCTATCCTTTCGGTTTCCCTATTCTTCCCTTTCAAACCAGCTAAAAGGAGGGTCCTAAATCGGGGGTTGTCCGTCTGGGTCCGTGTCAAACTTTCAAACGCAAGCCCAAGGCACTCGTCGAGTGAAGGCCCTCTGAAATGGGACACCGCTGGGTGCATGCCCTTTTGTCTCATCTCTGCGCGGGGATGGGATAAGCGAGTGCTTGGGCTAAGAAACCGTGAGCACTTGCATCCCAGAAGCAAACCATTCAATCATTCATCCTGGGTCAAGTTGGCTTGCTTTGGGAGAGTGGAGTTTCCAGCAATTCCAGCGTTGTTGATTCTGGTTTGGCGGCTTTAGCGTCTTACTTCTCCTGCAAGTGGGTGTGTCTTTTTTGAGGAGGCCCCACAGGTTGTTGTTTCTTCTTGGTTTCCCTTCTGAACCACGGGCAATGTTAAAGATCGAGCTATGCGGCGTCCTGCTTCGGTGCAGATCCGATTCAGTCTAGGTGCAAGCCCCCCTTCCCTGGTTCTTGGCCATGCTTCGGGGACTTTTGGGGGGCAAACCCACGAAAGGGGCACGGCTCCATTGAAATCACCGTCGACCAGGAAGATGTCATCCTAGTTGTCTAGTCGCACCCTTGGTCCCTTTCCTTTGGCGGGGATAAACTACAAATGGTCAATTCCAAAAACGCTTCCCTTGGGCAGAGCCCGGGGTCCGATTGCAGTAACAGGAACTAAACTCCTCAGCTGGCAGGCTCAGCAGTGCAGGCTTGCTTTGTGTCTCAACCGGTGTGGCTCTTGGAACGCTCCCGTAAGTGGCGAACCCAGGACAAGCCCTTTGGCTTGCAAGAGGGAAAAGCCACAAACATCTGGGCTTTCTTGGTTTGGCGATCAAGATTAAAAAATAAAAGCGGGCGCAATGGTAGGCAGCCTCAGGCCTGAGTAGTGAGGTTACTGATCAGCTTTTTCCTTGGCATCCCGCTCTTGCTGCTCAACGTCTTCTGGGTAAAGCCCTGCAGCTACGTGATCCTGTGCTCCATGGTGGCCCTTCGACTGCAGGGGTTTATTTCTTCCGGAAAACTTCTCTTGGTGTTTCTTGGGAAAAAAAAACCATTAAATAATGGGTTCTTTCAAAAAAAGACACGCCCAATGTACCTGCTAGGCAGCCACCCTCCTAACCCAGCATGAGACGTTTCGGGCTGTCGGAGGGCGAGTTTGGGTGGGTTCCATGGCCTTTTTGGGCTCAGGTCTCGCGTGGTAAAAACCAAGCATCTTACATGGCCCTCGGCTATGAGCCACATTCAAATCCTAGGGTTGAACGGTGAAGATGACGCCCGGCGTTTGTGCCCCGATTTGGGGCCACTCGGCTGGATCTTTAGTGCTCGGCTCTTTCAAAACTTTCTGAGTCCCCGCAAAGGGCATTTGCTAGTTCTCAAAGCTACTCTGGAGGATGGGCTTTCCTAGCCGCGATTTGGAGGTTTGGTTTGATAGTATGTGCCAAATGGGTCTCCATCTCAAAAATGGTCGAACAACACAAACCCACCATGATGACGGAACTGCCAACTGGTCTAAGTCCCTTATTCCTCCGAGGAAAGAGGAGGGGCCGAAAGGGCATCTACCAGCTTGACGGGTTGGCTGACTAATTCGCTTGACTGTTGGCCGCTGCATCCCTGCCCCAAAAATTCAATTTCTTGTCCACCAATCTCACTGTCAACCTCCTTGGCTTCCTGGTCGGTGCAGTTGTTCATTTTTGGCCCCAACGTGTAAACCGCTTCTTTCGCGGACAGTTGCATGTTCATCCTGGGTGGGTCCTGCATGGCCGACTTTACCAGCCACAAGTGGCCTCATTCAGCCCAAGATCACAAACTCGGTCCCTTGGAAAGGTGCGCCCTGCAAAAAGTACCAATGTGTGCATGAAACGTACGTGACCATGCTTCCCGGTTCAAAATCGAGCAACCCTGCTGCCAGATAGTGGGCCCCCAGGTTCCCTCAGATTAGGGAATTACCCCATGGTGAACATCCCAGTTTTCGAGGAAGATGCCCAGGCTTGGACCACCCCACGTCAGGGAAGTGTTGAATATAAGTTCCCGAAATGGGATCCCTACCACTTGCAAAGCTGTTTCACTGGGGCCAACAATCAGCTCTCTTGGGAACCGGAACCCACTTCCATGATTGAAAAAAAGGGTAGCCACCCTGACGTGGAGTGATCATTCATGCGCTGGAAACGCCAAGCGCACTTTGCCGTCTCGACTCAGGTGACTTTAGCCTGCATCGCAGTGGCGCCTCGGTGTTTTCAGCCATGCCGCTTGCCCCGCCCCACGAAATTTTGAAACCACACGTATGAACCGGTGTCCAAATCCCCACCTAAACTAGAGCAACTAGACGTTACAATCCCTTGCCGACCCCTGCAGTTTTTGGGGCGTATTTCCGGAAGAAAAACAAGCGGGGAAGTGTAAAATCCGCCCTGCAGTGTTCCATGTGAAATCCCGTGGCGCAGCTGCATGGATTCTGCGCAACTCGGCTGGCTCGGGCTCGCTACCAGGCGGCGCCGAAGGAGAGAGCTCTTTGAGTTTTTGGGCTGGTTGATGTCTTTGTTTTGAACTGGCTTGGTTCCGAAACGATGACCCCGATTTCGGTGGCGTTCCCCTCCCCCAAGCCTCCAAGCCCAAGAATCCAGCTGGTTCAAGAGCAGCTGGCCATCCGGACGAACTCGGGCGAAACGAACGGAGAACCCCGCGGACACCCGTTCAACGGCTCACTTCCGGAGTGCATGAGAACTTTCGTCGCTTTTTGGTGGACCACTTTACGGCAAAGAACTATCATTCTTTTTCTGGCCAATCCACTCCAGAAAGGGAGAGGCTGGAGAAGCATCACGTGCGCCAGAACCTTCCCTTGCTGTTCTCAATTCAAAGCGAATTGGGCGTTGGAACCATGGCCCGCAAGACCAGGTTGCAGGCCTGTTGGACAAGTGAGTTCAAATGCGTGAGCAATACTATCAACCTCTGGTGATCTAGCTTATGCCATAGTTTTGGAGGCTATTCCGCGAGGCACAACAGCCAGGGGTTGATTACGCCTCATGAAGCGGTCATAGAACCGACTTTGGGTGCAACATATCTCTTTGTGCGCACGTTGTTGTCGTTTTTCCCGAACGCCTTTTAGCAATTCGGGAGAGTGCAGACAAGTCGACAGAAGAAAGTCTCACAGGCTATGGCCATTTGCATCCTGCGAGGTGCTCTATGATTTTCTGGACATCGACGCAATTCAGCGCATGGAAGTTCAGCCGCTCGTTTGGGTTCGACCGTGCGGAAACCGAGGCCTCAGATGCAATCGCCGAGAAACCAAGAAACACCAAAAGGGAAGCGACCACAACACCATCATCAACAACAGTATCATCAACAACCTGATTCGCAAGAACGACGACGACGACGACAACGACGACGACGACCACAACGACAACGACAACGACAACCACAACAACAACAACAACAACAACAACAACAACAACAACAACAACAACAACAACAACAACAACAACAACAACAACCACAACCACAACCACAACCACAACCACAACCACAACCACAACCACAACCACAACCACAATCACAACCACAACCACAACCACAACCACAACCACAACAGCAACAGCAACAGCAACAGCAACAGCAACAGCAACAGCAACAGCAACAGCAACAGCAACAGCAACAACGACCACAACAACAACAACAACAACAACAACAACAACAACAACAACAACAACAACAACAACAACAACAAGAACAAGAACAACAACAACAACAACAACAACAACAACAACAACAACAACAACAACAACAAACAGCAACAGCAACAGCAACAGCAACAGCAACAGCAACAGCAACAGCAACAGCAACAACGACAACAACAACAACAACAACAACAACAACAACAACAACAACAACAACAACAACAACAACAACAACAGGAGCAGCAGCAGCAGCAGCAGCAACAACAACAATCACAAGAACCGCGGCCACGACAACAACAAAGCAGCAGCAGCAGCAGCAACAACAACAACAGCCACAACCACAACAACAACAACAACAACAACAACAACAACAACAACAACAACAACAACAACAACAACAACAACAACCACAACGACGACGACGACGACGACGACAACGACAACCACGACAACCACGACAACAACGACAACAACCACAACAACAACCACAACAACAACCACAACAACAACAACAACAACAACAACAACAACAACAACAACAACAACAACAACAACAACAACAACAACAACAACCACGGCGGCGGCGGCGGCGGCGGCGGCGGCAGCGGCAACGGCAACCGCAACAGCAACAGCATCAACCGCAACCGCAACCGCAACCGCAACCGCAACAGCAACAACTGCAACAACTGCAACAGAAACAGCAACAGCAACAGCAGCAGCTGCAGCAACAACAGCAACAGCACATTGGTTTGTTGATCTGTGTCTTTGGTGAACAACAAAACTGACTCGCGCACATGCAGCAAGGGCATTTGGCTTAGGGCAGGCTTGGCTTTGGCGACTCAAAAGTGGCAATGCAATTTTGCAAGGAAACGCCACATGTGCCCTTTGTATGCCTTGGTTTGGCTAGATTCATGCTATGTCCAGCTCTTCACGGATGCCGTTGATGGCTGCTTTTGCTCATCCATCCGACACCTAGGGAGCGGTTGGCTCAGTGCCAAAGAGCCATTATGCTTCTATTCTCCCCACGGGAAGCTGCAAGGTGGTGGACTGCTTTACAGTTCCAAGCCGCCTCAACATGGGTTGTCCCCCAAAAGAAAGACGGGTGATTTCCTTCTGGTTTCCCTTGAAGATGACCGCCTCAAAACAAAACTGCGCACCCTGGTGGCCAACTGGAAGCATTTCCCGATATTCATCGGCAACCCACGCCCCAGGATCAAAGAGATGCAAGCTGCGGTGGCTGCTGTCGAGGAGCGTCGCCAGAGCACGCTCCGCGGCAGGGGGCGGAATGAACTTTGCCAAAGCTCGCTTGGACGTTCGAGTATAGCCCACCAATAACAGAGCTAACTTCACTTGGGGGGCTTGTCATTGGATGCTAGCCTAGCTTACGAGCATGCTGCTTTGTTCCTTTCCAACTCTGTGTTCAAACTTCTCCTGGAAGCCCAGCCGCTGCGAGATCTCTGTGATTCCGCCTGTGCACCCAGATTTTCTGACCCCCGGGTGGTTTTCGTTCCACTTTGGGCAGCCTGGGTTAATCACCTTGGATCACGCTCAGGGCATCTCTTCCCGTTTTTTGCCTTTGACATCTCTGACCACTCAAAGTTGATCGCTTTGGTGGGGCATTGAGCGTTTTCTTGTTTTGGGGCATGTGCGTGTTGCTGCTCACAAAAAGTCAAGGATGTATGTTTGTGGGTGTGTGTGTGGTGTTTGAGGTTTGGAGGAGCAAGGGTTCAATGGCAACCAAGTTAAGACGTACAGGCCGCGCTATTTTCTCTGGTTTGCCAAGCATTGTTGAATGCCCCTCGCTCCGTACTGCTCCAAAGCCGGGTTAAGCGCTTGATGTCAAGCCCGACTCAAGCGCAAATGTTATGCACTTGCAAGTTTGGGAGGAACTCATGCATGCTCATGAGCTCTTTTGTATTCAAAACTGCCAAGCCCCTGCAGGGCAATAGGAAGATAGCAAGTAGGGACCTGTGCCCCATGTCCTTTGAAGGTAAACACTGCTTGGCAGACGGGAGGCTCGATGCATTTTGGTGCTGACCGTCCAAAGTCTGCTTTCGAAGGCGTTATCCCCCATCCATCCATTTTGCACCCTAGACGTTGTTTTTTGCGATTTCCCCACGATTGATGGCCGCATATTGCAAGTCACCCCGCACGAATCTTCATCAATGACCAGTTTCCTTGTTCCCTTGCGTAATCCAGCGAGTCAACCCGTGCCAGACTTCACTGACTTTGGGCTTTTGCCTTTTGGGGTGTCCTGCATGTCCCTTTGCAGCCAGAAATTTTAGGCCGCAAGTTGGCCGAGCGCCTTTTCAATCAGCCCCCCGAAAGCAAAACAGCCATTTTTAGGGTGCAAAAACTTGATGTTGACGAGCCACACCCATTTCCGCGTCCGTGCTGAGGTTGGAGTTCTTCAACCGGATCAATCGCCTGGCAGGCTTCTGGCACCTGGGCAAAATGTGGCCACGTCCAGTGTCTTTGGTCATATGAGAGGCTACTGTAGATGGTTACTACTGGTGTTTAGTGAGGGGGTCGCATATTCTTGCCTTCAGGGTAGATCAAATACGAGCCAGAATATGGTAGCATTTTTCTGTGTAATCTAGGGGGCCACCCTGGTGGTGTCAAGCATCACTTGTTTGGCAAGTTTGAAGTGAGTCTCCTTTTAGAGATGCAATGTTGGGAAGTGTTGGGTGCCCTGATACCTGTGGAACGCACAAGTCCTTCATGTTAGACGTCACTGTTGGCATGTGTTCAGCTTCTTCTTTCGGGAGACCCCCACACATTGTGTGGGTTCCATGTATATTTAGGACTCACGACTAGCTCCCTTGTGGTAGGTAACCAGGGAACCATTTGAAGGCCAAAAGAGTAAGTTTATGTGGCATACTTTGATGGTAGGCGAGAGCCTCAGACAGCTGCAGCATATCACCTACAAGTTCAAGAGATTGGAGCTGACTTGGCTTACTTCCAAAGCGATTTGACATTTGTTCGGGTCAAAATATGAAACTGAATCTGTCGCTTTCTGTTGAGTACCCTCCCCCAACATGGAAGCTTCTAGAACCCGTTTGCAAGACCTGGGTCCATTGGCCAATTGGGGGAGCTTCCGGCTGTTCTGAGAGGATTTTCCCAACACCTGACTGGTCCTGAAAGACGAGCTTCAAAAGGGACTGGTGGGTTCCATGTCGGACAGGAGGGTAGTCGTGCGCTTCGGTTTCTCCGGCGCTCGTTCCAAACGAGCGGCATCCAACTTCCAGCTCGATTCGCTCGCTGACTTCGCGAACCGATCTGAGATGCCTCTCAGGCTACCCTTAAGTGGTGACTATCGAGGGACCTTTTGGTTGGCCATATTCTTTGGGTCCCAGACCACAAGGAAATCAATCTTTAGAAGCCCCGCTTTTCTTTTTTGGATCCCGGTGGTTTGGATTTGGATTTGATTCCTAGAGGGTAAATGGGAAACCACCACTCCAAACCAACCGGGCTCCAAACCACCCAGAGAGAAGCGGATGTTAGGCTCTGGCAGCCACCTCGCTCCAAAAGGTGGGTCCCGGTGAGCGAAGCACTCCTGTGGACTTTGGGCTTGACGAGGCTGCACCGCACGCTGCCCAGACTCGAGCTGATGAAGATCTGCGGGGACGCCTTGGAAGACGCGCCTCGGCCAAGTCACGTCCCCCAGAGAGGTGTTTAACGTTTGGCCTGGGGGTCCCTTGATTTGCCCTTACCTTTGTTTGGTCGGGCGTTTTCGTGGCCAGATTCTCGGATGTTCGGAGGGGTACCCCCAACGCGACCTTGCCATTTCTTGGCAGGACCCAGCCCAGTGCCCTCGTTTTTCTGTGGGACTGGGGGTTGGCAGCGAGAAAGGCTCCAGGCAAACACTTCGTTGTCTCGTCGTTAAGGAGCCTCTACTTTCAACTTTCACTTTCCGATTGTTGTACTATTTTCCCTGCGGAGTTGATTTGGGGACAGTTTGAGTTTTCCGTGCGGTCAAAGGTTGCGTCTTGAAATGAGCTTTGCCACTTCCCGCCGGGCTTCGGTCGCAAGAAGTGTTATTTCCCACGGCCGCCTCTCCAACT